AGTAGCCTAATGATAACTAAATTTTTGAAGGCAGTAGTTGTGGATACTCCATAAGTACATCTGTGGAATGAGCTTTCTTTGTTGAAGGATTAGGGTCACGATTTGACAATATTAAAAATTTACATATTACCAATAATAGATTGTAAAAGTAAAAAAAAAAAAAAAACTTTGTGAAAAAATACTGTTAAACTATTCTAGAGGAAAAGACTGTACATGATCTTTCTATGATCTCTATAGGCAATATTACAAATATATATATTGTCATGAGAAGATGAGCAACTAGTACATAGCCATAAAATGCAGATAAGAGTAGACAGAGATATACTCATTAGTTAATTGCAATATGATGTTTTGTTTTTATCCACTATTGTTATATTTTTAAACTTTTAAAATGTATAATGTTGTGAATCTTAGCACAAGGGTAAGTTAGAAAGCCTTACTAGGGTTTCAGTTCATACATGCACAGGTTTATTCCAAACAAAACATGTTTAAACCTGTCTCTGTGGTCAGTGGGTAGCTGCAGACAAGTTCACATCTTAGTCTCATTTAGGTACCTTCCAAAAAAGGATACTAAGATCAACTGGCTCAATGATCTGATTTTTCCATCAGTCTTTTAAGCAAAATCAAAACTAATGAAGACAATTTTCTGGAATGAATCCTAACCAGGGAAGTCTTGAGTTTACCAGTATTATCCGGTGAGCAGGATCCTGTCAAAACAGTGGCTTCTGAGGGGATCTGCTGAGCAAGTTATAATTAAGGCAGAGAGGTCAGCTCAGAAGGTTATGGTGACAGTTTTACAGGATTCCAAAAGGATGATCTTGATAGACACAAGGCAATCGCAGGGGCTTATCAGAAGATGCTTGTTTTATTTTGTTTTGTTTTTTCATTGAAAACAGCATTGGTATCAACGGATAAGAGTGGAGAGCGAGACCTCACCCAGAGAAGTAGTGACGCCTGAGATGGAGGCAGAGATGATGACATGGAGAGATGGAGCAGCTGGAGACTTTAGATCCAGAGAGGAGAGGGGCTGTGTGCTGACAACCAGGGTGCAGGCTTGTAGTGTATACCCTTTGGCTGGTTGATGATGATGCATGGAGGGGAGTGTAACCATGGCAATGAAACTATATATGATAGGATGAATGTAAAACTAATGTTCTCCCATGAAAATAAAAACAAAAATTACAAAAAAAAAAAAAAAAAAAAAAAAAAACTGCATTGGTGAGCGAAAGACCAGGCAAGTTGCACTTAGTTATTTTTCCATCATGACAATGCACCTGCTCATTCTTTGAGGATGGCAAAGGATGTTCTATAAGAATTTCATTGGGAAACCTTACTCCATCTGTCCTACAGACCTGATCTTCCCCCTTTAGACTTCTTTTTGCTCCCCAAATTCAAACATTTAAAAGGAACGCAATTTGAGTCCCTGGAGAATGTCAAAGCTGTCATTTTGATGTGGCATAAATCAAAGAGCACAGAATTTTTCCGGAAAGGGTTAGAGAGAAGGAAACACTACCTTCAGCAGTGTAAAGACCTAGATAGAGGATGTGTCAAGAAACAATAGCTTTGGGGGTTTTTTGTTTTCTTTTAACTTTTTATTATGAATTGAGTGAATTTTACAGACAAGATCATCAGCTTTACACTCAACAAATAATACACTTTGTTTCATCTCAATGATTGCAATCTCCCCCCATGTAACAACAGTTACTCTGCTTCCTCCCTATGGGTCCTATGGCCATTCCACCCACCTTCCCATCCCTTCTCAACTTGGTCCTTATGTAAGAGTTACCTTTTGATTTTGAATGACCATTCCTTGGTGAGCATCTCTTACAAGTGTTGTTGTCTTCACTTCACATTTTTATATTTTTGTTTAATAAAGGTTTCTATGATTTTGTAGCTCTGGTAGCGTAGTGGTTACGAATCGGGCTGCGAACCTTAAGGTCAGCAGTTCGAAACTACCAGCCACTCCGCAGGAGAAAGATAAGGCTTTCTACTCCCGTAAGGATTTACACCCTCGAAAACCCTGTACAGGGTCGCTATGGGTCGGAACCGACTCAACGGCACTTAACAACAAATGATTTTGTAGCAGTATTTTTGACTTACCCATATATAATCACGTTTGTATCTAATTTTGTACTTGTAATTTTATTCTTTTAAAAAATATATATATATAAACTTTATGCTTTACCAAATTTGTATCTCTCCCTGTTATTATTTCTCTCCCTCTAATTGGTCTATGCTTCTCCATTCTTGGCCTCTTCTAATCTAATCTTCATATCATAGCTTGAAGGATGTTCTAAAAGTCTATGGTTATTATCTCTCCTTTATTCCTCTAATGGTTTTAATTAGCTTTAAGATAAAGACCTAACTCTTTAATATAGGCTCTGTTGTTGGTGCTGTTCAGTGCTGTCAAGTCAATTCCGACATATAGCAACCCTGTGTAGGGTTTCTGAAGAGCAGCTGGTGAGTTTGAACCATGGACCTTGTGACTCAAACCAACCTGTGGTCAAGTACTTATCCTACAGCTCCAAACCAGGACTTCAGTTCCTCCCTTTCTATGGTCCAATCACACTGGGTTTTTTAGTTCTCTGAATGTACCACCTCTAGGTCTTTGCAAACTCTGTACTTCCTGACTAGAAGACATTATACCAGCCCAATACACCAGTATGAAGTGATCTCCTACTTAATTTTCAGCTCACTCAATGGTCAGAGCACTTAGACTAGGTCAATGTCTACCATCCATTAAATGTACAAATCCTTGACTTTTTCCTTCATAGCACTTCTCCTAATTTGTAATTTGATACTTCTGTGATTATCAAAATGCCTGTCTCTCTGTCACTAGAATGCAAGTTTCACAGCAGAAAAACGGAGCAAACAGTTTTCAATCTAGCCTTAAATCAAAAACAATGACATGATTTTGCAATTTGGGTCATCAATGCAGATGAAACAAATTCTTTCTTTTCTTTTTTTTTTTTTTTTTAAAGCTTTTATTGTGAATTGAGTGATAGTTTACGTGAAAGAACATTAGTTTTGCGCTCATCCTATTTCGAAACAGATTTTCTTTATGTGCAAAAAAGTCTTTTTGGAGGTCTTGCAATCTGAACAAATGTTCTTAAATTTCGAGTTGACAATAACAACAACATCCAGAACCCAACTAACATCCTATTGTTGTTGTTAAGTGTCATCGAGTTGATTCCTACCCATATCTACCCTGATAGGGTTTCCGAGGAGTGGCTGGTGAACCGTCGACCTTGCGGTTCAAAGCGACTTTGCAGTCCAGCACATTAACCCACAGCACCACACTTACCAGAGGCTCCTCCGAAATACTATATAGAATTCCTGAGTCAGAACCCATTTGAAGGCACTTAATAATAGCATCAACATAATTTATGTGCGAAGTAAGGAAGTACATCCTATTGTACTGAGAACATTTTTAACAGTTTCACCTTCCCAGGGATATTTATATTTTCATACATTTCAACAGAGAAACCACGTTAATGTTTGGAGCTCCATGTTTCATGGGAATCCCCTCTCCCCAACCCGTTGTTGTTGTTATTATGTGCCGTGGAGTCGATTCCGACTCATAGTGACCCTGTACAGGGTTTCCGAGGCTGTAAATCTTTATGGGAGCAGAAAGCCTCATCGTTCTCCTGCGGAACAGCTGGTAGTTTGAACTGCTGACCTTATGGTTCGCAGCCCAATTCATAACCACTACACTACCAGAGCTCCTTTCCACCTCCCCTCCCCCAGTTACTTAATAATGCATATGGATGACCATGTTGCAGGGATTTTCTGCAATATGCACACCATTTTCCAAGAGGTATCTCAAAAATTTATCAAGAATGATGTAGGTAAAGATGCCAAGTATCATGAACTCGTTTTTCGTCATTGTTTTTTATTTAGCAGTGGAATAGCAGGCATATATCAGAATTGGGATTACTATCTGAGATTGCTCTAAATTTGTTGTTAAATGCAGTGGCGTTGGTTCCAACTAAAAGCGGACCTATACAGGGTTCTGAGGAGCCACTGGTAGGTTTGAACCACAGCTTTGTGGTTCACAGTCACAACTAAATTCAGTAACTGAGCCAAAAGAGAATGTTAATTCCTACTTTATAAATTGTATAGAGAAAATGAAATACGATTAAGTATGGTTGGTGATGGTGGTGTGCAGTGGAGTCGATTCCGACTCCCAGTGACCCTGTATAGGGTTTCCGAGTCTGTAAATCTTTACCGGAGCAGAATGCCTCATCTTTCTCCCGCGTAACAGCTGGTAGTTTGGAACTGTTGTGTATAAGGGCCCTCAATTAAGTTATTTGCTGACTTGAGGGATTTGCTAATGTGCGGCCAGGAGCTCTGGTAGCGTAGTGGTTACGAATTGGGCTGCTAACCTCATAAGGCAGCAGTTCGATACTACCAGGTGTTCCGCGGGAGGAAGAGGAAGCTTTCTGTTCCCGTAAAGATTTAAGTCTCTATGAGTCGACTCCACCGCACATTACCACCACCAACACCCCATCATACAGCTGAGACACCAACTGTTCCTAAAATCTGGTAGCCACATTTCTTCTTCCTCTTTCTCTCGGTCCGCTACTGTTCGATGACTCCCTTCCATCTTGTCATCTAATCTTCGCTCCACTTTAATCTTTCTACTAAAACCTCAGAAATAGGATCCATTAGAAGCCAACGAACTTCAGCGTAACAGAAAAGTAGGTATCATACCCAACCCGTTTTTCCCTTCCCCCAGCTCCCGCCCTTCCTCCCTTTCCGTCCGCAGCTCCGCCCCGCCCCGCCCAGTCCGCGACCGCCCATCACGTGGCCGCACGGCGCTCCGCCCCCTGTCTCCAGTTCACGTGATCGCGCCTGGTGAGAAAGCGCCTGACCCCAACCTCGGCCTTCACTGCACGGCCTTCTCTTCCTACGTGCGACTCATCAACCTTTCGCCCTCCCGCCACCTGCGCGTCCCTCCATCCTACCCGGGTCCCCCCTCCCCCGGCGGCCCGTCTGCCATGCGGCTGCTGCCTTTTGCCCCAGATGGGCCCTGGCGGGTCAGTCCCCGTCGCCCACCTGCCTGCAGTAGCGGCAGCCCAGCTCTACTGGTGCTGCTGTTCCTGGGGTTCTCCCAAGTGGTGGCAGGCTCTCGGAGGCCCAATGTGGTGCTGCTTCTCACAGATGACCAGGATGAAGTGCTCGGCGGCATGGTAACTCTTCTCTCTATTTCTGCCCCGCCCCCTCCATTTTCCAGGACTAACTCTGGTTTCTTGCTCGCTTTTGCGATTCCTCGCCCGCAGTGCCCACAGTGGCTGTCTTGACTCTTGTTTTTTGTTTTTGCTATGCGAGGCCCTTTAAGCAGGCTTGAAAGGCCCCCAGGACTTTATTTCTTCTTGATTCTTCCTCGTCTTTTCTGGATATTCATATATTCTCTCTCTCTCATACACACAAGCACACACGTATCACATAAGGTTCTTCATCTGGACTTTGTTGCTACTGGAGTTTGTCCTCAAATCTCAGGAAAAACATGTGGGTGGACGCGTTGGTGATGGGTTCAATCAAATGAGGAGCCGGTGCTGGCTAAGAGTGAAGAACACTTGATGTTTCTTTTCTTTCAGTCGACTAATCCTGTCACCTAGGCTATGTAGGTGTAGAGGGACCTAGTCTACCTTTGCATTTGTGACAGTATCTGGGCCCGATCTTTATGAAATAAGGGCTGAAATGAACTAGTGTGGTAAGTAGGTTGTCAAACTCTTTCTCACAAGAACCAGGGAAATTCAATTAGCCTAATTGAGCACCGGGCTCTTGATTTTGGCTGTCAGTGTTCCATTTTGTATCAAGTGATTGTTGTTATGAGGCTTCTTACTTTCCCAGAGTTAATATTGCTTCTGCTCTCTTAAATTTCATAAGGAGCTCTGGTAGTGTGTTGTTAAGTGCCATCGAGTAGATTCCGACCCATAGCGACCCTGTTTAGGGTTTCCGAGGAGCAGCTGTTGAGCTTGAACCGCCAACCTTACAGTTCAAATGGCTTTACATTCTGACGCATTAACCCTCAGCGCCACACCAGGACTCCTCTGGTAGTGTAGTGGATTACAATTCAGGCTGCTACTCACGCGGTGAGCAGTTAGAAACTACCAGCCACTCTGTGGGAGAAAGATGACTTACTTTGCTTCGGTAAAGATTTATACCCTATCACACCATTACACCATCAGAACTGTCTTGATGGTACATAACCACCGCTCTGGTAGCGTAATGGTTAGCCGTGCTGCTAACCTCAAGCTCAGCAGTTTGAAACTACCAGCTGTTCCGCAGGAGAAAGATGAGGCTTTCTGCTCCGGTAAAGATTTACAACTGTACAGGGTCGCTATGAGTCTGAACTGACTCTACGCCACACTACCACCACCACCATCTTAGAGTTCGTGGATCCCTGGTGGCACTGTGGGTTAGGCATTGGTTTGCTAACTACAAGGTAGGCAGTTCAAACCCACCAGCCACTTTGGGGAAAAGATGAGGCTGTTTCCTCCAGTAAGGTTTTACAGTCACAAAAACCTGTAAGGACATTGTAAGTCAGAATTGACTTGATGGCAGTGGATTTTAGGCCTATCATAGAGTTTGGAAATTTATTACCTTCAGTCACATCTACTTTAACCCATACTAAGGAGCTGGTAGCATAATGGTTACAAATCGGGCTGCAAACCGCAAGGTCCGCAGTTCGAAACTACCAGCTGCTCCACTGGAGAAAGATGAGGCTTTCTGCTCCCGTAAAGATTGACAGCCTCGGAAACCCTGTTCAGGGTCGCTATGGGTCAGAACTGACTCGACGGCACTTAACAACAACACTGAGGCTCAGAAAGTGACTTGCATGAGGTCACATAAGTTGTTAGGCAGAATCCAATCAAAACCTTGCCTGGTCCCTTGGTCTGGCTTATTGCTTGCTTTCTTTCCTTCTCTTTGCTTTTCATCTGATTGCTGGGATATGAAACCACCTCAGGCAAGATGTTCTCAACTTTTCCTGTGTGGTAACTCTGTAGCTTAGTCTCCTTCATAGGGCTGATTTCAACCCATGAGTGAGTGTGAAATCAGTTTAGTAAGTAGCTACAGCATTTGTGCTTTCCTTTGAAATAGTGTAGGATGGAAAATGTAAATGTGTTGTTACATGTAGTAAACATAAGCATTTTGTTTGTTAAGTGCTGTCGAGTCAATTCTGACTTAGAGCGACTTCATATAAGGCTTCTGAGGAGCATCTGTTGAGTTTGAACTGCCGACCAATCTTTTGATCTAGCGCTTATCCTACATCGCCACACTAAGATAGCATACCTGTATATATACCTGCATTGTGAAATAAATTGCATTTTAATCCCATATTTCTTCCAACCACATATGCCTCATTGTCGTTTAGTTCCTACTTAGCTTCCTTAACCTCAAAGAGCCTTAATTTAATGTCCCTTCTTCACTGAGACTTGAATCTGATTTTGTGATGAAGAGTCACATCTTTTTCTAATTGTTTAGTAATCTGGTTGTACCAACTCTCTCGTTTGGTATGAATGTTACATTGGTTTTGCCACCATTCTATACTATCACATTTATGTTCATCACAATACACTTAAAAATATATATATTTTGTATTCTTTGAGAAAAACTAGCTATCTCTCTCACAAGCTAAGTCATTGACTAAAAAGCACATAGCTAAAAGGTAAAACTTACATATTTTTATTGAAAACAAAATGTATTACTTAAAATATAAGATGTTCAAAATTTAGTTCCCTCAATTCTCATAGAAAACAATCTATGCTTGTATATTTAAGATTTCTTTTCTTTTAGTTTGTTAGTAGAAAATTCTTCCTTGTAGGTGTCTGACCAAAATTAAGTGGAAGAAATGAGTAAAACTTAATGCACCAATTGTCCAAAGAATTCTGGGTTCATTTGTAACCTTTTTTCAGAATATTCTATGACTAATTTTATAGCCTCGGAAACCTGTACCAGGTCGCTATGAGTCGGAACCGACTCCACGGCACATAACAACAATAACAACAATTGTCTAATAAGGAGCTCTGGTAGTGTAGTGGTTACGAATTGGGCTGCTAATCTCATGGTTAGCAGTTTGAAACTACCAGCTGTTCTGCGGGAGAAAGTTGAGGCTTTCTGCTCCCGTAAAGATTTACAGCCTCAGAAACCCTGTACAGGGTCACTATGAGTTGGAATTGACTCGACGACACTTAACAACAACAGAATACTTTGATGTTGTTGTGTCGATTCCGACCCACAGCGACCCTGTATAAGAGTTTCCAAGTTACAACTGGTGAGCTTGAACCACCGACCTTGCAGTTCAAGTGGCTTTGCAGTCTGGTGCATTAACCCACAGCGCCACAATTAGATGCCGTTCTACAAATACTTTTGTAGAATACTTCAGATAAAATGCAGGGACCCCAGAGGGGTCATGTTGTTAAGTGTCATCGAGTCAATTCCGAACAACATCACAGTATTCTGTTGTTAAGTGCTATCGATTCAGTTCCAAACACTAACACAGTATTCTGTTGTTGTTAAATGCCGTTGAGTCGGTTCCGACCCACAGTGACCCTGTATAGAGTTTCCAAGGAGCGGCTGGTGAGCTTTAACCACCGACCTTGCAGTTCAGACGGCTTTGCAATGTGGCTCATTAACCCACAGCACCACACCAGGACTCTAGAGGGGGTCACTATTGTTGTTGTTGTTATGTGCTGTGGAGTCGGTTCCCACAAGGGTCATAGAACTCCCTTTAATTTAATTGTAGAACTCTGTATACAGTATCGTCATTTTTGTGGAAGTCTTTGGCCCATATGGAGCACAGTTTTACTGTGATATATATGGGGGTCACAATTATTGGAATCAACAACATCAAGTTTTTTAATGTCTTTGTAGTAATTTAGCTTCCACATCAAAGAATTGCTGCCATAGTTGGCTAGTGACTAACTCAGGCCAAAGGATTATAGCAGTTGCATGATTTTGTTTTAATATGGAATCTTTCGACCATCTTTGAAATAGTCTTTCACGTAGTAACACCATCCTTAACAGTTGTGAGTTTTTGTTGCAGATATCATTTGTGGGACACTCCATTATTAACATTTGTTGTCCAGGCAACAGCTCTTATGTATTTCTTGATTTTACTTAAACATCGTTAGGTGTGATAGACATACTCTGTTTTTCACAGAAACCCAGGTTACTCTTTTTAAAAAAAGAATTCACTTAAGAAAAAGTGACATGTGGTTAAAAGCTCCAGGGAATGAAAGAAGGAGCCATAAGGAAATGTAGGGTAAGAATAAATACTTTATGTCTTTGCTTCAAGCAAAGGTTTTCTGTTTAAAAAAAGAAACTTATCATAGACACCTCAGAACAGTCAAAACTTTCTTTCAGAGTAGTTACTATATGGGAGCCAGGGAAGTAATTGACTCCTAATGGTTTTTGTGGAAGAGCTTTTAGTTGGGATGAGTAAAAGGAACATTGCATCCACATGCCAGTATATAGTTGGCTGCTTCACAAGGTTAATGAGAATTGCAACCTTCTTCTGTCTTTCTGTCTAGATCAATGCGTAAACATACAGTGTTTAATAAAATGCATTGTAACCACACAGTATAATCATATGTTCACTATCTTATATATATATATAATTTTTATTTTTTTTAAGTTTTTGTTGTGAATTGAGTGATAGTTTACATATGAGAACATCAGCTTTACATTCATCCTGTCATGTTTCATTTCATTACAATGATCACAATCTCCTTCATGCATCATCATTCAACAGCGTTTGCTTCCATTCCCTCTTTTTGATGCACACTGAAGCACTCAGGAATATGTAACCATTCAAGCCTGCCGTCACCCCCCAACCACCAGCACCCAGCCCCTCCCTTCTCCCTCCCTGAGTCCAGAGTCCTCAGCCACTCCATCTCTCTATGTCATTGTCTCTGTCTCCATCTCTGGCATTGCTCATCCTCTGGATAGGGTCCTATACTCTGCTCGTCTCCCTTGATGGTCCCAGGGTCCTCCACTCCTGGACTGCAAAATCAACCACTCCCCTCCTTTTGTTACAAAACATCTACCTTTACATTTGCAACTTTCACAGTAAGTCCTGTTAGCAGTTATATACTAATGAGCCACAAGAATCTTATCCCCAGCTCCTTTCTCCAGCCCTGTCTAGACAGATTGGAAACCACTCAGTGGAGATTCTACCTTCCCCTGTGTCCTCTGAAACTAGGGTCCCTCTTGAAAGCTTGTAAGCCAATCACTTCGTGCCTTTGTAGCCCCCCATTTTGGGTAGCCAATGTCTTATGTTGCCCATCCCTGTCAACCCTGTATACAGAGGGGGTAGGAATGATCCTTGCTGTAAAGATTCGTTCCCTCTTTTGAGCTACTACATCCATAAGCATAGGTGAAGCCCATCAAATTGTAGCAGGTTACTCTTTTTTTCCTCTTCCTTCTTCATCTAGTTGAGTTCTGATCATCCAGCTGTTGAAGCTAGGTCAAATGGGTACTATCTGCAATTATGGGTGTTCTTGTGTGTCTCCTCTCACTTCATATCATCTGGATGCTTCACTCTCTGTTCTAGTTCTCTGTGGCTATGACCCTGCCCATGGGATCAGGAATCCCGAGGTCTCTCTTTATTGCTGGCCAACCAGGTCTCAATCCAGGTTGACAGGAGTCTGTTGAATGTGGTCGGATTTAGGCTAGCTTTGTATTTATGTTCACTAGAAAATTTGATCGTTAACTTAATCCACGTCCATGGTCCTTTTTCTCTACTTTCACTTCCTACCTTCATTTTCCTATCCCAAAGTAGTACACACAGTTAACATGTGTAGCTGTTAACTTAAAGGTTGGATGTTTCCATCCACCCAGAGGCACATTAGAAGAAAGTCCTGGCATTGAAAACATCAGCCATTGAAAACCGTATGGAGCACAGTTGTACTCTGATATATGTGGGCTCACCCTTAGTTGGAATCAACTCGACAGCAGCAGGTTTTTTAATGTCCTCAGTAACTCGGGTTCCCCATCAGACTAGTGTTTCCTTGAACCCCGTGGTCTGTTCTCTTGAATTATTGTTGTTCATTGCCATCAAGTTGATTCCTACTCACGATGACCCCATGTGTGCAAAGTAGAACTGCTCTGAGGGGTTTTCAAGGCTCTTCCTAGATGCCCCTGGGTAGATTCACACTTCCACCCTTTCAGCTAATAGTTGAACTCTTAATCTTTTACACCACCTAGGAACTCCCTTTGCTTTAGTGGTGGTGAAGTGTCCTTAAGTTGGTTCTGGGTCATAGTGGACCTGTATAGAATTTCCGAGGTTATAAATCTTTACGGGAGCAGAAAGCCTCCTCTTTTTCCCACTGAGCAGCCGGTGGGCACATAGTCCAGTGCCTATCCCACATAGCCACTGCACTCGCTTCCTTGGTTATTAGCACCTAGGATATTTTTGTGGGAAAGCACGTTGATGACTTTGCTTCTTCTGAAAATTAGCAGAAGACCTTTCACATCTTCTGGGAACACACGGATTACCCATGAAATTATCAAAGTTCCTCTTGAATACGTTAAAAGTCTCATCCTTTGGAACCTATGGGTTCTTTAGATTTTCCAGTACCTGTATAAAACTATAGGGAAAAGACATTCATATGCACAGTGTTGAAAATGAGGTTCTTCGTTAAGTTATGTGTGGAGATCAGTCTCTGAGAAGTCACTTATATAACAAAATAGGCTTCAGACGCCCATGTCACTGCAGTATCCTCATGAAATGACTTGTAGAGAAATGAACCTCTTTGGTGCTGCTTACTTCCTGTTTGTAATCTGAATAAATATCAGAGTTCCTCTTACAACTGTTTAAATAACTGTCTTCAGATTTTTATTCTCTTGGCTTTGAAATAATTGCTCTCTGTACTTGTCAAGATCTTGGATTTTGAACAAAAGCAAGGACTATAAACACAGTGGTTCCTGAGTAGCACCTTGTGCTTGGCAGGGGTCTATGTACACCTGGTTTCCCACTTGGTTTGGTGGTGGGTGGTGTAGAGCAGAGGGCAGGGAGCTTGTAGTCAAGAAGCGTGCATCTGAGGTCTACCGCTGTCCATTTGATTTTTGAGTCAAGCTCTGAGTCTTGGGGCCGTGGCTGGCTTTCAGAATCTAAACTTTGTTTTAAAGGGTGGGAGGCTTCTTTCATATCATTTCCCAAACCTTGCTTCTAAAATGAATTAATGAAGACAACTCTGCCTCATCTACCGTACAAGGTGACTGTGAAAAAAGGACACCACGATGTTGTTACATTGAAATTGGCATTGCCGGAACAATGCCACCAGTTCTGAATTCCTTCCTGCAAGTATTCTGTCTCCCTGAACTTTTACATAGAGTCCAGCAAGCCTGTTTGGTTCATCTTCAGAATTACTTGGGACTCCCTTGGCCATTTCTTACTGTCAGATGGAGCTGGTCACTTGGGAACAAAGGATTGAGAGTAGGTTGCAAGAAAACACAGATTCTAATTTGTATATCTTTATTGGAAGAAATTATTTAACTGATAATTACTTCCTTTACAGACACCCCTTAAGAAAACCAAAGCCCTCATCGGAGAAATGGGGATGACCTTCTCCAGTGCTGTAAGTTTTTCAGTTAACGTAGCTTGTTTAGACTTTGATTTTGATTATGTCCTAAGAAGAACTGTTGCCTTCTGGGTGGTTCCTGATACCATCTACATGCTCTGGGTTTTTTTTCTTAAATTCTGAATCTGAAAGACAGGCTTTATTTAATGTGATATAAATTACTGATACTTCTTCTTGCCACCTGAAGATTAATTACAGGTATATTCTAAGCCATTCTTCTCTACAACATAGAATTAAAGAAATTTATTTCAAATCTCTCTGTTTAAGGTTTGAAAGTAGATCTAAGAATTGAGTAACATTTATGCTAAGTAAGGAGTGCCGGTTAATGCGCTGGACTGCAAAGTTGATTTGAACTGCAAGGTCGGTGGTTCAAGCTCACCAGCCACTCCTCAGAAACCCCATACAGGTTCGTTCTGAGAAAATACAGACAGCAGTGTGCTCCAGGCAATAGAACAGAATGGAAAACAAAAGGGAAAGAATGAAGAGAGTTGCCAATGTAAAAATTACAGAAGTGAAACATCTAACAAAAATTAAGAGGCAGCTCGGCGGCACATAGCAGCAGCTGCAACAACAACAACAACAATGCTGAGTAAACTGTTTCACGGTGTAAACTTGCAGGTCACTTTACTAAGCCTTATTCTGATATGGTAGCACAACCTGACAAAGAAAACACTACCAAATGAAGGAAGAAAGAAAAATGTGCACACACACACACACACACACACACACACACTCAAGTTTGGTGTATGAACAGAGTTGCGAAGATCCCAAATAGAACACTAACAAATCAGATTCAGGATCCATGCACCAGGACCGTATTGAGGTGTTCTAGGAATGAAGGTAGCTTCTTAATTGAACTGCACGTCGATGCTGCTGTGTTCCGAAAACATACTCTAGAGCCAGAGCTCCTCGGTTCAAATACTGTCTCACCCTCTTTTCTAGCTATGTCGCCTTGGGCAAGTTCTTTAACATCTCTGGCCCCTGGTTTTCCCATTTGTAAATGAGGGTAATAGTACCTGCTTCAGGGTTTTTTTGAAGTTAAGTGGGTTAATTCATGTAAAGTACATGTAAATCAATGTCATGTGGTATTATTAATGAGTGAGTTAATTCAGGTAAAGCATGTGGTATTGTTGATAACTGAGTAACCAATATGGCACTAATAAATTAAAGAAGGAAAATTTGTTGTTCATCTTAATAGATGCTTGAAAGGCCTCTGAACATTTAGTATCCTTTCCTGGTAAAATTAAGTAGTGGCTTACAAGTTGGGCTGCAGACTACAAGGTCAGCAAATCAACCAGCCGCTCCATGGGAAAAAGATGAGGCTTTCTGCTTTCATAAAATTGACACCCAGAAACCCGATACAAGGTCACTATGAGTCAGAACCGACTCCACGGCATACAGCCACCACTGCCTGGTAAAATTCAACTGGTTGAAGAATATTTCAAATGAATAGTGCACCTTATCTTTCAGATGTCAAGCTAGTGGCGTTACTGTTGGAAGGAGACAGGGATTCAGCATTTCTCTTTAATGTTGTCCCTGGAAAGTCCAGTTGTCACAATGCTTATGGAAATCAGAAGTAAAGCTATGGGGAAAAGACAAATTACTATTTCCCCATGCTTGATTTTCCACCTAGAAGTCACAGGATAATTATTGGGGAAGTTTTTTAATTAATGAAGTTTGGGTAAAAATGGAAAAATTAGAATCTGTAACTTTCTTGCAGATAACCAGTTAGATAAATAGAAGGGCAGCTGGGAAGATGCTTTCATAATAACAGGAAAGTATCAGCTCTTCAGTGAGAGTGGGAAGAAATGGTTAGGAACTCTGTGAATAAAGCTACCAGCAGTTAGCTGGGTGACATAATGAAAGTACTTGATCAAGTAGACTCAGATGTCATTTCCTGTGGGGACATACAGTCTTAGAATCCCAACAAGATTTTTCTAGATTGAATTAAGTGATCCTAAAAGTTATGAGGAATAATAAATCGGGGGGCACTGTAGGATGTCGCTCTGCTAGCCATGAGGTTAGCGGTTCAAATCCACAGCCACTCTGTGGGAGAAAGATGGGCTTTCTGCTCCTGTAAAGATTTACAACCTTGGAAACCCTATGTAGGGTTGCTATGAGTCGGAACCTATGCCATGGACCCTAACAACAAGAACAATCAATGTAAGTTTTTAAAAGGAAGAAACTGTCCTGTCAGCTACTAAAATTAATAAGAAAATACAGAAAGCAGTGTGCTCCAGGCAATAAAACAGAACAGAAAACAAAAGGGAAAGAATGAAGAGAGTTGCCAATGTAAAAATTACAGAAGTGAAACATCTAACAAAAATTAAAAGGCAGAAGTAAAAATGGGAACGAATTATAACATGATGGACTCCTTCCTTCACTCCGATCTTAATGTAATAAGCAGCCAACAGCTCAGGAAGGAAAATGGATAAAACATTGTACAGAAAGTTCACATAAGCACAGTTGGTCAGTGTATTGTATATCAAGATCGTTCATCCTCAGCAGGATTAAAAAATATATAATATCCAACCTGAAAGGGGAAAAACATCCTGATTATTTAAAGGGAAAACATCTGGTTTTGCAAAGGTGTGCCAGAAGAAATATTCATTCCATGCTTTTGAGAGTGGAAGCTAGTATTAACCTTCTGAAAAGTGACTTGGTGATGTGTATTAAGACCTGCTGTACAAAGATTGGGTAGAATGGTTGAAGTCATTAATAATGGTAGTGGTGTGCCATGGAATTGCCTCCAACTCATAGCGACCCTGTGTAGGGTTTCCGAGGCTGTAATCTTCACAGGAGCAGAAAGCCTCATCTTTCTCCCACAGAATAACTGGTAGTTTCAAACTGCTGACCTTGACCTTGAGGTTAGCAGTCTGACTCCTAACGACTACACTACCAGTGCTCCTTATTAATAACATAGGTATCCCCTACTTTTTGAAAGTTCACTTTATGCAACTTTGCTTTTACGAAAAACCTACATTGTTACTTGTTTTCACTAACTGAAAAAAATCCAAAGTAGAATTTTACTTCATGAGAAAAGGTAAGAAGCTAGTGTTTACTGTTTGTTTTGCTGCACACCATTATAGATACAGACCCAAACAACAAAAGTGGCATTACCAAGCTCCTTCCCTGGGAACTACATTCAGCAACTCAGTCAGCATCAAGCCGCCATAGCTTTGAACTGTGCTTGTGAACACTAAATACCAGGTTATTTTAAGTTTGATGTGTTATTTGGTATGATTTGGTAGGTTATTTTTTGGGTCTGGGAATGCTCAGTTTTTTCACATATGAATTAATGGTACAATTGGCCCTCTGTATTTGCAAGTTCTGCAACCAACTTTGTATCAAAAACATTGGTGGTAAACCAGTCTCTCAGAGGTTAAGAAGGAGGTGTTAAGTGCTGTTTACATATCATTTATGTTGTATTAGGTAGTATAAGTAATCTAAAAATGATTTAAAGGTGTAACGGATGTGTGTAGGTTATATGCAAATAATATGGCTTCATCAACACTCATGGCAGCAGCAGTCAAGAAATTAAATCATGTATTGCATTAGGCAAATCTGTTGCACAAGACCTTTTTAAAGTGTTCAAGAGGATAGATGTCAGTCTGAGGACTAAAGTGTGCCTAACCAAGCCATGGTATTTTCATATGCATGTGAAAGTTAGACAATGAATAAGGAAGACCATAGAAGAATTGATGCATTTGAGTCATAGTCTTGGAGAAGAATGTTAAGGATATCATGGACTGCCAAAAGAACAAATAAATCTGTGTTGGAAGAAATACAACCAGAATGTTCCTTAGAAGCCAAGATGGCCAGACTTTGTCTCTCACACTTTGGACATACTATGAGGTGGGGCCAGTCCCCGGAGAAAGGACATCATGCTTGGTATAAGTAGAGGGTCAGCGAAAAAGAGGGAGACCTCCAACCAGATGGATTGGCACAGTGGTAGCAACAGTGTGTTCTAACGTAGCAGCAGTTATGAGAACGATGCAGAACCAGGCGGTGCTTCCTTCTGTTGTGCCTAGGGTTCCTATGGGTTGGAGCCCACTGGGCGGCACCTAATAACAACAATAACATGGCATTTTAATCCCATCTACCACCACCCCTCATGGATACCAAGAAGTGACTGTAATTGTTTCTTCACTTGTTGCCATTTCTTCTGACAAAAGGTTTCATAGGAACATTCTACTTGGAGATAGCAGACAAAGTGTATAGAAACATGTGTTGTTAAGCGCTGTTGAGTCAGCTCTGACCCATAGCAACTCTGTATAGGGTTTCCAAAGAGCGGCTGGTAAGCTTGAACTGCCAATCTTGCAGTTCAAAGCAATTTAGCAGTCCAGCGCATTAACTCACAGCGCCACACCAGGGCTCCTTATAGAAACAGAGTATGAAAAAAACCCCATCTGTGTCCAGTGTATCAAGTAATACGGGAAATGTATAAAGCTACATAGTCTGAAAATGAACCTCTACTTCTTTCAGTTACATAAAATTCAGGTTGTTTTCTCTGCCTGTGGTTAAGACCCACTCCCACTAGCCTGTGCTGCTTGCCATAAATATTACATATTCTTTAGGGAGATGAGATTAGAATTGCTGTTAGGTTCTCGTGCAGAAATAAACCAACTGAGAAAGAAACCTGTTCTTTCTCCTAGTTTTATCTGCTTTATTGTCCCCATTACATGACATAAAGCAGCTCTGAAGTGTGTGTTATGCAAAGAAAGTCTGTATTCCATGGAAAAATAAAGTGATGTGTATATACAGTGGCAACTTTTTAAATTCTCTTTAGAAATGGTGAGAAACCTGTCTTCCTTGTGTAATTGTCTTTTTTCTTATGGTCCCTTTGTAGTATGTGCCAACTGCACTATGCTGCCCCAGCCGAGCCAGTATCCTGACGGGGAAGTATCCACATAATCATCACGTTGTTAACAACACGTTAGAGGGAAACTGCAGTAGTAGCTCTTGGCAGAAGATCCAAGAACCAAATACTTTTCCAGCAATTCTCAGATCAATGTGTGGTTATCAAACTTTTTTTGCAGGGAAATACCTAAATGAGGTATGCTGAATGGTCTTAATTATTTCTCTCTTTATGAATAAAACATAAGTGAATTAATATAATTCATATTAATCATTTCATAACTAGTATCAACTCAAGTTATGTTGTAGGGTTTTTGTTGAGTATTGTTTTTTCCAAATCTGACCATTAAGCAAAAATTGTATTTACATGATTTGGGTAGTACAGTTTTTCTTCCTTTGAATTGTCCAAAGAGTGCGTGTTTAAAAATGGTCCTCAGGCTGCTGCTATCTGACAGCATCTTCCTTTTGTTCTCAGGAATTCTGCATGTCACGTGGCTGTCTTTCTGTTTCCCCTTAATTCAGTCTGAAGAATTTTTCACTCTTAGAATCTGTCTTCAGATTTCATGGCTCCAAGTTACTAACTACATTGGTCTCAGGTTTTAGTCAAGAGTCCAAATTTAAAGAAATTATGAATGTGGGAGTGTTTGGGGGTTAGCACTTAACAGCAGATGCAAGGCAAAGACAGATGTACATTTCTCATCCACTGTGTGGTTGCTAGACATTTTAATGTCAAATATGCATTTTCTGTTAATTCTCTTCTTTCTCCTATTAACTGGAGCATTCTGCAACTTCGTAAAGGAAGAAGAATCAAGTTTGAAAAGAACTGTGGGAAGTTAAGAACAGATATGGGTACTTAGTTATTGGGTTAAGACAGTGGGTCATAATAGAATATATACTGCCGTATATACTGAAGGTCATCTGACACATTTAAAACCAGGAGGAATTCATAAAGTACAAAGAATCAGCTCTCAGACTTGAATTCTTGGAGGGCAGTGTTAAGTCTTGTTGAGATAAAGTTGGATCGTTCTGTGGGCCTTTCACTTACTCAGCTCTTCGGATACATTCAATGTAGATTCCACCATCAGGTTAACTGCAGTAATAGGCTAACAGCTCATCCTCTGTTTTTTTTTTGTTTACTGTCATTAACCACAAAGACAGTTGGAGAATTAAATTTCTGCCATCAGTAGCTCAGCACTTACCCCGTGAGTGGTTGAATTGATGGGTCCTGTGAAATAGGCCAGTGGGCTTTCTCTACGAAAGTCCAGATAGTAAATGCTTTAGGGTTTTTCATGCCATACATCTTGATTTTAACTACTCAGCCCTGCCATTGTAGCATGACAGCAGCCATTATGGAATGAGTGTGGCTGTGTTCCAACGAAACTTTTCTTTACTGCCACTAAACTTTGAATTTCATGTGACTTTCACATGTAATAAAATATTTTGATTAGTTTTCACATTTTAAATGGTTAAAAACAGATGTAATTTGTCAGCTTCTGTCCTAGAAGTTCTTAGGATTTTGGTGTCTTTCCTTATTGTATTTGGGATTGTCTAGTGTATGTATCTGGGAAAATGTAGCCCCACTATGGTTTAAGCACACATCTAAAAATAAGCTAAAAGTTTCCTGGTCTTTATTTCCATTATTTACTTCTTCTTGGCCTGATTCTGTTTAGGGACTTCTAATGTCCTGCTTGTTTTACTTTTCAGTATGGAGCCCCTGGTACAGGTGGCCTAGAGCACGTTCCTCCGGGCTGGACTTACTGGTATGCATTGGTGAGTGATACGCAGCCCTACAAATGAAGGTGTATTTACTGATTTGTGGGAACTCCTTTTGGCAATGTATTATGGTTTACTCTTCTACCTGATCCACTTCTGGCTTTTAAATTAGGGTGTTTGTAAACTCTACCAGCAGTTAACAAAACCTGTCTTTAAAAATCTAATTTAGTATTGATTTGTGTTATTAGCTTTGTTTATGTCTTTTTAAATAAAATCAAACAGTGTGTAGTTGAGGCAAGTCTGGATTCACACTTTAGTTCGCTGACCTCATAATTTTACTTTTTCTTTTAAAAAAAAAACAAACTAGGAAAAGAATTCTAAATACTACAATTATACCCTCTCTATCAATGGGAAAGCCCGGAAGCATGGTGAAAACTACAGTGTGGACTATCTGACAGATGTTTTGGTGAGTTACTGAAGCTCTGTCCTGGCTGAGTTTGCTCACTGAAGATTTTGCCTAGAAAACCTCTTACCTTAATTGTTCACGTTGAGTAATGTAAATAGCTTGGCCTAACTGCCAAAATAAATTCTAACTGATTAAAAACTTACAAGGGTATTTCTAATCTAAGGCTCAGATCTAATGTTCATGAAATCCCAGCAGCAAATCCCTTTTACAAAGGCTAATATTTAAGACTACAGTGATTACTTTGTAGAGGTTTTACTTTGTAAAAGACTCCTACTTTTCACCCCAATTTTACTGACAAGACTACAAGATGGGGGTGTCATCGACTTTGTCTTGAGGGTGGAGGCAGGGAGTTTTTCAGGTATTGTGTATTTGTAAAATAAATTACTGAAATAGGTGAACTTGGGACAGTTTAATTTGTAGTAATGGAAGTTAACACTAAAATGATATTTTCTTTCCTTATGAAAAAGTATAAGTTTCTCGATCACATAAAATCATCAAGATCTCAATCTTTTTTATGGTCTGATGCATTTCAGAATTTTAGTATACACATATTGCCTAAAAACCAGTGTATTTGTTCAGCAGCAGACTTGTAAATGTCACAGGTTTTGTGCTAAGATTGGCTAAAGGCTTATAGGACCTGTACCCGCTCTTCACCAGAGAACATGAAGTACTCAATTACTGGGTAGGACAGGAGATGACAAATCTTTATCTGTGTCAGGCTAACATTTCCTTGGATTTCCTGGACTACAAGTCTAACTCCGAGCCATTCTTCATGATGATCTCCACTCCAGCACCTCACTCGCCATGGACAGCCGCACCCCAGTATCAAAAGAGCTTCCAGAATGTCTTTGCACCAAGAGACAAGAACTTCAACATACATGGAATGGTAGCTTCCTCTAAACTCTTGAATCAAGCTGTACTGATATAATTATGTAATATACTTGTCAGAAAACCTTTAAGCCATGTAGCAGCTCATGTTCCTTAAAGATCTTTTGTAGGTTATTGCATCCATCCTTAGTATCATAAATGTATCAACTTGCTTCATAGTACAGATTTCTGCCACACATCTGGTGAGCAGCTGGAGAATCCACAGAGGATGTTAAGGAAACGCCATCTTCCATGAGTCCAGGAGTATCACTCAGGTTCTCCTGATAAGCTCTGGGTTGACTCTCTTCCCACCTGGCAGTGGCTGATACATAGCCTTTGGGGCTGAGCTGGGTCTATGGAAGCATCTGGTTGGCCCTTGCCAGTCCTATAGCATAGGAAGGAGAGAGGTGAGAGTGCAGTATGCTTGGGTGCATGGAGAAAGAAGCCAGGGTAAGGAACATGAGTCATTGCTACAATAACTTAAATATTTGCCTTGTGTGCCAGGTATTTTTTTCCCCTTTCCATGGTTTCAAAGGCAGAAGGCCTGTACTGCCTCATGCCCGTTACTTGGCTATCTTAATTGCTGATGAGGTCATAGAAAGGGCAAGTCTTAGAGTCAGGCTAGGGCTACCACTTTCTAGCTAATGACTGGACAAAATGTTTGACTTCCGTTTGTCCTTGGAAAGTGGGAGATCTTGAACCCTCATGAGACTATTCCATGGATTGAAGTGCATGCTCATGTAGCACACTTACTTCCTGGCACATTACGGGCAGGCATTTGTTACATACAGTTCTAAAACTGAGTGCCTTTATTGACTTAACTGTGTTTAAAAATAATGATAATTGAAGTTCTCATGGCCAAGTAAATTGGAAACTTTGCATTAAATAAATCTGTCTGCTTCAGCACTTCTCAGAGTTATTAGTGTTATAGTGTGACTTTCTAACAGGGATGTGCTGTATGACATTTCTCAAAAAATATCTAACGAATTCCTTGCTTGAGGAACACAGTTTAGGAAATGCTGACTTATGCTCTTGTAAATTGTTGTTGTTAAGTGCCATTGAGTTGGTTCTGACTCATAGCGACCCTGTATAGGGTTTCCAAGGAGTGGCTGGTGAACTTGAACTGTCAACTTTGCAGTTCAAGCTGACATTATGGTGCAGTGCTTAACCTACATTGCCACACCAGGACTTCTGATATGAATAGGAGAACATTAATGGTGTGTGAGAATGTTTGTTTTAAAAAGTAAATTTTTAATGACAAGGACCCTCCAGATTTGAACTTGAAATTTTAGGAAATTGCTTTGAAGCGATGTTTTTTCTCCCCAGTGATCTAGGATGATTGAGATTGTGGGAATGAAAGTAGAGGACAAATGGAATGGTGACTTTTTAGATTGAGCTGTGATGACAATCTAGGATAAACACTGGACTGCTTACTGCAAGGATAGCAGTTCAAACCCACCAGCTATGCCAAAGGAGAAAGATGAGGGTTTCTTCTCCCTTTAAGAATTAACAGCCTTGGAAACCCTATACAGGGTCACTGTGAGTCAGAATTGACTCGATGGCAGTAGTTAGGTAGGCAAAACCAAGGAAGGTACAGTGATTTTTTTACCCATTTGTAACTGCAGTAGAACCAAATCATACGGTCAAAGTTGTTATTAAGTCTGATCTCATTCTAGCCAGTAGTTTCCCATTTTCATTTACGAAATCTCTTACTAATGTTGCTAAAAGAAAGGGCCAAAACATATTATGGTTTTGGAGTTGGTAGGAAAAGCTGAAGAATAAATAATAACTTAGAATTAATGTACAGAAATAGTTTCAGGAGCACCAGGAAGGTGAGGGCACGGGAGAAGAAAGTCTGAGTTTCTTAAACAAGTTTCCATTAGTACCTTTATTTTGTTGTTGTTTTGCTAAAGTTTTAAAATGATCCTCTTTATCATTTACTCTGCTAGTTTATACTTGACTATGGTAATTTGGTATTAACATTGTTTTTCTTCTAAATTTTAGAACAAGCACTGGTTAATTAGGCAAGCCAAGACTCCAATGAGCAATTCTTCAATACAGTTTTTAGATAATGCATTTAGGAGAAGGTAAGAGCAAAGACTTTCTCAGTCTGTGTAGTCTTTGAGCTCATGAACAAGGCACTGGGCCACACAGTTTTCTTGAGACAATATCAGAGGAAAGCAAGTTGATGGGAGAGATACTGTGATCAGGGTCTGCTGTCTCAAAACTCAAGCGGAGCTTCCTTTACATTCAAATGTGTGATATGTGGCCTTTGGATCCCAAGACTATTAAGTAGTCCATGTTTATGATTTTTCCTGTGCCTGAAAAGAAGGTAGCTTGGTGAGAGAGGAGCCCAGATGTTTAACAGAAGACCCAAGGACTTAGAAGGCTGACTAGAGCATAATATTTGCCTTTGCTGTTTAGGATTTCCAAGAAATTCTTTTTAGTCAGTTTCTTTAAAAATCTATTACTTTATATCAGAGGTCAGTAAGCTTTATCTGTAAAGGGCCAGGTAGTAAATAACTTAAGCCTTTAGGCTAAATCATCTTCATCAGTTGTTCAACTCTGTTGTTATAGCATAAACACAGCTCAAGGCATTACATAAATAAATGAGCAGGACTGTGTTCCAGTAAAACTATATATGAATATAGATGGCAGGCCGTCTTTGGTCCATTGGCCATAGCTTATGGACCCCTGGTATATACATCGGAACAAATGTTTAAGAGTTAGTCCTAAATTGACAGCTTGCCTTCCGATGATCACTGCTGTCATCACTAGTGACAGTAAATAAAGTCAACTGAATATGAAAAGCCTAGTTTATTTCTTGGAATACAGTTCCATTTGAAATGAACTAATTATGTTCTGTAATTTTCTAGTCTGTTTTTTGCCTTGGAAGTCTAGGAGGGGGTTGTTTGGGATTTGAGTTTTTGGGGCAAGAATGGTGTTTTCCTTTTTTTTTTTAATGAAAGATAGTGATACCCCAGTCATTGCCTTTGACATCACCATTGCCACCCTCTGTCACATCCAGGTGGCAGACTCTACTCTCAGTTGATGACCTTGTGGAGAAACTTATAAAGAGATTGGAGTTCCATGGCGAGCTCGACAACACTTACATTTTTTATACATCAGACAATGGCTATCACACAGGTGAGGGATGGGGAGCGGGGGGAGTCCTGTGACCTTGGTGAGTGTTTTGCCTTTTTCACCCCATCAGCAGCACTGCATGGAGTTTTAGTCCCTCTAGAGCAGGGGTGGGGAACCTTTTCTGTACCAGAATTTATAGTATCATTTGAGGACCATACAGAAGTATCAACTTAAAAATTAGCCTGCTACATTTGGTCAAATATTTAATTGTTGTTACATGACATCAAGTAGGTTCCAACTCATAGCGACCTTATGGACTCCAGGGTTTCCGAGGAGTGGCTGGTGAGCCTGAACCACCGACCTTGCAGTTCAAGCTGGCTTTGCAGTCCAGCGCATTAACCCGCAGTGCCACACCAGGACTCCAAGTATTTAATTACCTCACCCTTAATGTGATGGCTGTAACTACAGTTGCCATGACAGGGCCAGACCACATGATTTCTCAGACTGTGTATGGCCCACGTTCCCCAGCCCTGCTCTATAGCAATGGCTATGCCAGAGGGCAACAAACTTGATATCAGGCCTCCCTCATTGGAGGGCCATGATTCCCACATTGAGAGAACAGGTTTTATTATTAGCTGCTTCAGATGCTAAATTACATGGTGTTCTAGAAGTCAGGAGTAGTCATCTTTATGGGTAGGAATCAGACAAACTTCATGGAAATGGTAAGGAACTGAACTAGATTTCAAGGCTAAGTAGAGATGTCACACTCTAGACAAGAATACCAAGAAAAGGTTGAGGAAAAAACTTAAATTGTGCAATTTGTTTTTGAGGATTTTTCCACCCTTTCTCCCCCCCCCCCCCCC